AAAGTCTGCAGTTCTTATTTAAAAGCAAGTTCTTGAGCTACAAGTAGTAGTAGTCGATGGCGTGTACCGTGTTGCGTGTCGAGACACGCGAGCAACAACTCTTGGGCGACGTTTGACAGAAGATAGTATTGGAAGACGATGGAAAAAAATAACAATTTTTAGTGCACTTGCAGCCAGCGTGCTGTTGAACGACGCCGCGGGGGACTATCGCCCGATCGGAACCTCTTCTGTGTAGACTAGTGTTGGGGAGTGTGGCTGCTAGTATGAATAGGGTCCATTTTATTGTTGATAGGATGTTGTAATGGAGCAACTAGTGTATGAGCATTGTACGAGCGTTTCATGGACGTTGTATGAGCGCTTATTGTATATTTTGAATTTTCTTTCGTTATGGATAGTTGGCGTCGTTGAGGGGTATTGAAATAGCGTGAAGGAAGATCAAAATTTTAGCCCCGCTGCCTCACTCTCCGAGTGGGCGCTGAGCGGACCTGGTCTAAGCAGGCTAAAACAAGAGATCGAACAACGACTGTGAGTACCCGAAGCCAGGAGCGACGAACTTGCTCCCTCCCTCTTATATTTCTCTGTTCCTCCATAACAATGTGGGTCGGTCAGGAGGTATACCCTTCTGACTCCTACCCCCTTTGAATAGTCTACTCTGTGTACCCTGTTGATTCGGGATATTTCTACAACTCACCCTCCTTTTGGATGTTTTGTGAAGAGTCATATCTTTTATTCATGATCATAAATTATCAGCTCAATCTTATTGTAGCTTTAAGGATTTGAGCATTGATTTGAGTATAGAACCTCCATGTATGTATGATATTCAGGGTGGGCTAGTGATGAGGAGTGTGGCTGCTAGCATGAATAGCGTAAATCTTTTTGTTGATAGGATGTGGGTCGGTCAGGAGGTAAACCCTTCTGACCCCTTAGAATTGTCTACTCTGTGTACCCCCTGAGATGAAGTTGGATCCCTACTTCATCTCAGACTCTTGCTGATCGTCTCTCAGCAATAACAAGCAACTTTCCCATCTCAACGTGGTCGTGGACAAGAGTGTCAACGACAGAACCTTCATCTCTCTAGAGGCAAGCTAACGCCCACGGCTTCACCTCCATAAACTAGTCTAGACTACGTACTTTACGTTCTTCGTTTGGCAGCAATCTCGTTTGTCCGATCAATATTTGCGAGTTCTAACTAGTTCAACATTACACAGGTCCGTTCTGTAGGGTACTGATACTTCTGTAGGGTACTGGGAGAGTTACAGAGCTGTTTGTGAAATCTCTGTAGGGTACTGGGCGAGTACCGAACGTTCTGTGAAATCTCTGTAGGGTACTGGGGTCTCACAGAACTCCTCTGTAAAATCTCTGTATGTGCTGGGGTCTCACAGAACTCCTCTGTAAAATCTCTGTATGTACTGGGGTCTCACAGAACTTTTCGGTAGGGTACTGGGAGAATACAGAACGTTCTGTGAAATCTCTGTAGGGTACTGGGCGAGTACCGAACGTTCTGTGAAATCTCTGTATGGTACTGGGAGAGTACCGAACTTTATGTAAAATCTCGGTAGATACTGGGGAGAGTACCGAACTATCTGTGAAATCTCTGTAGGGTACTTAGGTCTCACAGAACTCCTCTGTATGGTACACAAACAACGTACCTACAGACGAACCCGGTACTTACCCCGATAGTAGCAGCGTCACAGGACATCACGTCCTGCACCGCACAAAAGGACGTCTGCACCGCATGAAACACAATACTGATATTATACTCCGAGATCAACGTGGCTCCGTGCATTCTGATTCTACCCCACCCTACAGCGGCGCCACCATTGGTCTTCCTCATCAACTATAATTAATGAAGCTGACACGAAAAAAAAAAACAGTTCGACTACACCTGACCTGCGGTTGCCTTGGCGCCTCCTCCACTCAGAGGTACAGCAATCAAAACCGCGAAGAACGACAACAACAGAATCAACAATCAACCGCCGTAGCTACGCAGCACTAAGCCTCCGTTGTTGTCATTTGGAGCGAAAACGCAGTGCACCAAAGCAAAACACAAAACACGTACGGCTGTTTCTGTTTCACCCTCGCCTCCTCCACCCCCAACTGCTGTACTTTGCGCCGGGGAGACGCTGCTGCTGAGGTCTGCACTCTCGCTCATGTTCCTCTCAAGCTATGTGACCGAAAGGAGTTCTGTGGAGGTACCTAGTTCTAGTTCTGTGATCGCCTTCAAGCTTTTTGTGGCTGTGGGGCAGGTGGGGTCTTCGGCGCAATCCTGACGTCATACCTCCGAGGGTACTACTGTACAGAACTTTTCGGTAGGGTACTGGGAGAGTTACAGAACTGTTTGTCGGTAGGGTACTGGGAGAGTACCGAACTTTCTGTAGAATCTCTGTATGTACTGGGGTCTCACAGAACTCCTCTGTAAAATCTCTGTATGTACTGGGGTCTCACAGAACTTTTCGGTAGGGTACTGGGAGAATACAGAACGTTCTGTGAAATCTCTGTAGGGTACTGGGCGAGTACCGAATGTTCTGTGAAATATCTGTAGGGTACTGGAGAGTACCGGACAGTCTGTAAAATCTCGGTAGATACTGGGGAGAGTACCGAACTATCTGTGAAATCTCTGTAGGGTACTGGGCGAGTACCGAATGTTCTGTGAAATATCTGTAGGGTACTGGGAGAGTACCGGACAGTCTGTAAAATCTCGGTAGATACTGGGGAGAGTACCGAACTATCTGTGAAATCTCTGTAGGGTACTGGGGTCTGACAGATCTTCTTTGTAGTGATCTGTCGGTACTTACAGAGGGAAAATACCGCCGATACCGATCTGTGAGTACCCTACAGAACGGACCTGTGCAGTTGACATTACATGTTGTTTTCTTCACATTAAACTCGTTTCAGTTGCTAATCCCAAAATCTAGCCAAGACTCGGTCCGTGGTCACCAAATTGCCAGAGCTATCAGAAGATCTAAAGAACACGCGCACTATTAGCAAGAAAAGGGTACACAAGCCCGAGGAGGTGCACCTACCTACAATTCCTGCAGCACGTTTGCGTCCTCACAACTGAACTACACGCCCACACAAAAACATCTCAGGCAGGAACCGCAGGAGGGGGTCCACCCCCCCCCTCCCATGTGACCCCGGTTGGGNCAAATTGCCAGAGCTATCAGAAGATCTAAAGAACACGCGCACTATTAGCAAGAAAAGGGTACACAAGCCCGAGGAGGTGCACCTACCTACAATTCCTGCAGCACGTTTGCGTCCTCACAACTGAACTACACGCCCACACAAAAACATCTCAGGCAGGAACCGCAGGAGGGGGTCCACCCCCCCCCTCCCATGTGACCCCGGTTGGGTCGTCTAGCTGGTAGAAGTGGAGGGTAGGGGCCAGAGGGGCAGACGACAGAGTCCAATGATGGGAGAAAAACAACAACAAACAACAACTACAATTCGACCACAGCAGCAGCAGCATCACCCCCCTTGTCCCGCACTCAACCAAAATGAATGTCGACTACAGCGTACTGCTGTCTGAAGTGCTGTCTGTACAACAATAACACCATGGCGCATGGTACAAAAGCTCGAGGCATGGAGCTGCTGTCTGTAGTGCTGTCAGAATGAGTCCGTGGACATCCAATGAAGAACAACCAACCACAGCTATCACTGCAATTGACAATCACCCGAATCTATCCAGATCATCTGTGTTAGACACAGNACAATTCGACCACAGCAGCAGCAGCATCACCCCCCTTGTCCCGCACTCAACCAAAATGAATGTCGACTACAGCGTACTGCTGTCTGAAGTGCTGTCTGTACAACAATAACACCATGGCGCATGGTACAAAAGCTCGAGGCATGGAGCTGCTGTCTGTAGTGCTGTCAGAATGAGTCCGTGGACATCCAATGAAGAACAACCAACCACAGCTATCACTGCAATTGACAATCACCCGAATCTATCCAGATCATCTGTGTTAGACACAGCAGTGTAAGCATCGACACTGACGAGGAATCGTTCCACATTGAAGGGGTCTTCCACGATGCAGGTACACAATTAAGGCACCCGGGTTATCCGCGCCATCTCTGCCGCGTCTCTCTACAAAACCAGTGACGTCATCGCACACACCCAAAACCTACAGACTCGTGTGTCACGGTTCGATGCCTGTTGTATAAATACGGCAAGCAGCAGCAGTGGGTCACACATCGCACGCTACAACGTGCTGGTGATATTTACTGCCGTCAATTTTCGGTTGTTGGTGTGGGTCTCGTACTCACAGACCCGTTTGTTTAGCACTACAGCAGTAGTTTTCATGGTGGACGGAGTTCATTCGAGTTTATCACTACTGCTGCGGGATGGGGGCACCCGATGGAGGCGCACCCGGCGCCGCTTAAGGCGGAGAGTCATGGCGGAGAGACCGTTGCCCGAACTTGGACTTGGACTGCTGTTGGCGGCCACAGAGTTATATCCGTTATCCGATGAGGTGTGTTTTGGACTGCTTTTCTTGTTGCTATGCAATGCGAGGAAGAGAACGGGTGGCCACAAAAGACCTACACTAGTCAACGCTAATGCAGGTCACACGTTAAACGATCGGGCAGGCAGAAAGGGTTACTGTACCACAGCAGTTTGCTTCTCTGGTTGTGCAGGGGGGGGGGTGGCGAGTCGAAGGGAGCTATCTCTTCAAAAAACAAAAAATCACGAAGCCAGCCCCGCCGATTGTATCTGCGACGCATGTACTCTTGTCTCGAGCAACACACCAACAAGATGAGTAGCATATGTGTGCAAGAAGATTTTCCTCAACTCACCGCAATGTGCGACGTAGCCGATGCTCCTGGACACAAAAGGGTGGCTTGGCGGGTTGAACGACCACGTGAAAGTGGGGAGGTTCCTTGGCGCACTCCCTGAGCTCTGCGCTGCGCCCGAAGAACCCCAGATCCGTTTCGCGGAACGTTCTGTGCCTCCGTCCAGCAGCAACCAATCACCGGAGAGAACCTTCGCCCACATTCCACGACCACTTCCTCACACCTCGCCCAGGTGCACGGCGTATTGTCCCGTCCAACGCAGCCGGAGGTGAGTTTTGTGTTGTGTGGGAAGTGCTCTTTACCTTGATGACGCTCGAGACAATGACAGGAACCTGACTGTGAAGAGCTGGCTCGGGGGTGGTTCCAGGTTCCAGCTCTTTCATGGACATGGATGATCATGTGATTCGGCAACGTACCAGCTGGCCTGTACGCACCTTGCTCTCCTGCGGTACCTATTCAGCTGCTAGCCTACCGACCGTTTCGCATGCGACCGTCCGCAAAAGCCAAACCTATTTCTTACCCCCCTGTTCGGTACCCGCCACACCTCTCCGAGGGTCTGGGAGCAGGGGTATCTGCCAAGGAAGGTATGGTACATACATTGAAGTGCAAGTAGACGAAGGGTAACCCGTCAACTGGTGCATCTGATGAATCTGAGATGTGAATGTCCTACTGCTGTATGTACGATTGTATCATACAGCAGGCTAGTCTACTGCTGTAACCAAGGTCGAAATCCCACACCTCATTCGCGGCGCAGGGGTGCAGAGCCTTTGGACTTGGGGGCCGCGGACAATGTGTCGGTGTCAGGAGTGTAGACTATATGTAAGACCGCAATCGGGAGGAATTCGCCAATACCATGCTCAGTGTTCACAGCGTAGACTACAGCCCCGAAAAGTTCAACCGGAGAAGAACTGGAAAAAAAGGGGTAATGGTCAACGTATTTTGCCGCTTGCGGCAGCAAATCCAGCAAGTTGTCAAGCGACACTGCGACGTGTTCTGTAGAGGCAGAATATTACAACACACGCATAACGGAGGGTTTCTCCACGATATTGTTGTCGTTGACGCTGTACATCGAGAAAAATACGAGGTGTGATATTTGCACCAATACAGCAGTGGTGATTTTGTGATTAGCACCTGCTGGCATCACTGATAGGGAGGTTTTCAGTGCGTAGGCTTAAGTAGACTCCAACTAAGCCCAGCACCCAGCCGGTTTCCCTCCGTTCACTGTAAAGACTTCAACACATGCCGTTCGACTGTGGGTAGAGGTCCCTCTGTTTTAAGGCCACCTAGTGTCAAGGGGAAAAACCGGCCTTAAACAGGGTACCCGGCCTTATTGAAAACCGCCCTTGTTTATGGCCGATACAGGCCTTAAACAGGAATATGATTTCCTCAAGAAAGCGGGTAACCGGCCTTAGTGGGGAAATCAAGAGTGCTAGGGTATAGTGCTGATTGCCAGTAGGGGTGCACATCACACAATCACAATCACACGATCACAATGCCACAGCGCCGCTTTGGATGTGCACCACCTGGCATGCATTTAAAGTAATGTCATACGCACCACACAAATATGGTCGCATGTTCCCAAGTGTCTTTGCCCGCCAATTTTTAGCTGATGTCCGCGCCATCAAGTATCTCCCCCTCCATGCTGTAACTGGTCAAAATTACTCTTCTTGGCTAACCAACCTATACGGCAGAAGGAAACGCAGAGAATGAGATATAGTCCAAGCTTCCCCGTGAGCAATTTGTGAAGCAGATATTGACGACGAGAAAGTATGGGACGGCAACGAAACCACAAAAACGAAAAAATATTACTGGTGAAGGGTCGACAAATACGCTGCATCCGCGCTGATCTTGATGACCAGATTGAGAGGACTTCCACAAGAAAACCTCCAACGATCTACACACTCCAACAACATTTGAATTACATCTGTCGCGACAAGCACCAACTGAAATCTCTACCCGTTCAACGAAGAGGGCACACACAAGAAAACAAACACATCTACGCATGCGACGAGTCCACCGACCTCTCTACCCCTCCTCCGCGCCTACGAGATTACAGAAATTGCCTCATGTCCGCCTGCTGGTTTCGAAGCATGCGCTGCGATCATGGCCACCTTAGCCTTCTGCAGATGGAAAGCAGCGTCGTGGTTGCCGCTTCCCTCTGCACCCGTCTCCAGAGCCCCGAAGTGCGACGAAAATGCCGCATACGGCGGTGGTGCCGCGTGAGCCGTGGGTATCTCCATCTTCTGGCCGATTTTGAGCCGCGTGAGCGTCATGTCCGGGTGCTTGGCTGGTTTCTTGCTTGGCCCAGCTGCGCCACCGCCCTCCATGGTCGACCCTTTGCGCTTGCCCTTGCCAGTTTTCGAGGCATCGCCGGTGGCTTGCTTGGAGGAAATGCATGTAGCACAGATTCGGGCGGTCTCGTGTTCCCCATCTTGGTCGCGTTCACCACACAATCCGTGAAGGCGCCCGCCACACCCTCCGCGACATACGTGGCCGTGAGGGGCTAATGGCGTCTCCCCTAGTGTGTTGCACAGCTCACCAGCCGCGCAAGGCATGTGTGTGCCCCTACCGGTTGCGTTGGTGGAGGTACGCTAGGTGTTTGCTGTTGTGTGTTTGTATATTGCTGCTGTGTTGTGGCTGCAAATGCGGCCAAACCTGCGCGGTAACTTCAAAACCGGCCTTATTGAGGTTGTGCGTAGGGTCCCGACAGGCCTTAACGAGGGACCACCCCTGTTAAAGGCCTGTACGGCCTTAAAATTAAAGGCGATTTGTTCAGGCGATTCCACCAGCCTTGAACAGAGCAACCGGCCTTCAATTTGTGGCCTTCAACAGGGACCTCAACTATATCTCGAATGGGTAGCCTTTCTGTGTTTGTATTTATGTTTCCTAATATCACCCGTTCAACAACTCACCATACGTAATGGGTAATGGAGGGTTTCTCGCCCGGGATTTTGTCATCGAGATGGGACGAAAACACACATCCAACCAGACACCTGCAGTATGCAAATGTTCTATGCATACAAATCGTATATAGGCCACCTGCAGGAGCGGATCTCCCGCGCAGTGGTAGTTTTGTGCTACTCAAAAGCAGTACAGTTCTGGTCCCTCTATAGTGCCGATTGAATCGTGCCGGTAAAATCTCTGGACACAGACAACGCCCTCAGTTGAGGGCAGGCTCGATATAGTGCCGATTGGGCACCATAGCGCCCCCGCAATAGTGCCAGTTTACTTACACACAGACAGACGCCACACAGAAAACAGGGTTCGCGTGCTGCTGCAGAGGCACACCATGCCTTGTGCGGAAGGTGAACTGTGCCTTCAACAAGACAGAACGCCGCAAGACCCTCATGGCCACGTCTGCCAGGGCGGATGTGGCGGGCGGCTGCGTGGTTGTTCCGTTTTTCTTGCCGTGCGCTTCTTGTGTGCTTTTTTTGTTGTTCTTGCAACATCGAAGCAGGTGCGCTTGGCAGGTATGAGAGAGTTTGTCGCGACGTAATGAGGGTGGGCAGTACATGGTTGTTCTTCGTGCGGTGTGCTTCCTGTCGTGCTTTTCTTGGTTTCTCTTTTTTAGTTTCTTGCAACATCGAAGCGGATGCGCCAGGCAAACATGAGAGAGCTTTGACGCGATGTAGTGAGAATGGGCGGTACATGTTTGTTTTTTGCAGTTCGCTTCCTGTTGTGTTTCTTCCTGTTGTGTTTCTTTTTTTTTTTGTCTTTCGTTTACCTTGCAACATCGAAGGAGGGGAAAAGAGGACTGAGAATTTGCGTCGTCCACTATTCATACACATCTTGTGTTTCTTTTTGGTTTTGTCTTTCGTTTACCTTGCAACATCGAAGGAGGGGCAAATAGGACTGAGATTAGCGCCGTCCACTATTCATACACAATTTCGATCCATTTCGCACTCTGTTGGCCCCCAAAGCGTGAGCGCCACACCATGACATCAAACACTTCGTCAATAGTGCCTATTGGGGGATGTGCTAGCCCTCAACCTGCGCTATTAAGGTACTATTCTGAATAGTGCCGGTGCCCGCTATAGTGCCGGTAAAAAATTCAGGACACACCCCCGCACTTGAGAGGGCCCAGCACTGTAGTACACTCGACAAGTCTATATAGGGCAATATGCATAGCCATACGCATACATACGTAGTACCCCGATCTTTGATTTTGGCTGATTTCGGAAACGATTGGTCGAACTACAGAGGAACATGGTAACACATAGGCACCCATTTCCAGTTTGGAATTTCAACCAATTGCAGCTTTCCAACCAGGATCGTCTAGCTACTCCTTGTTGGAATTCCTATTTTGCCAAGCATGATGTACACAGACTGCACCCCAACTCCCCAAACTTGGCTCGAAGTGGTCACAGCAATGCACTGGGCGGCCTCGAAGCCTCGAACGTTTGATTCAAACGGGTCTCTGTGACGCGAGTACTCAAGTGCCAAAGCATGTTTGTGTGTTTTTCAAACAAAGTGCGCAGACTCCCGTGGCCTCATGGGGGTTTGGATGTTTTTTGTGGCACTGCCGCCCTCAGTGGTCTGTAGTGTTGAGACTTGGTACTATGTTATCCTCAGAACAGCAGATGAAGAAAAGGACCATGTATTATCTATCCGACACGCAAGCCCCACGAGCAAGTAAGCTCGTGGGTTCTTTCTCTCTCACACACCAGGGGTCTTCTCCTACCCCCCATATACTTCATACCGATCCACGCAGCCCCCATCAGGCGCACACAGCACATGTAGATCGGACACATATGCAAAGTACCACAAACAGATGTAAATGGCGTATTATCGGGATTTCAAGTCGGCAAAATTCTCCATAACAACTGGCCTAATCGGAATCTGGGTCCGCTGGGGGACAGGAGGGTGATTTGGGCGGGGGGTGCGGGCGTGTACTTATAGTCGTGCATGCCGTAGTTTTTAGACCATTGATCTCGCATCCCTACAAAGCCGGGACGGAGCACGCCGGGTTCTCACCGGACCAGGCTCTCACATCACCAAGCGCGAAGCGCCGTGAGATATTCGGCGAGTCGCATGAAGGGTGCGCTGCATCCTGCTAAGGGTGTTCGGCATCTTGTGCTTACTTCCTTGCGTACGGATGACAGCTGCGTATGAATTAATTTATTTTCTGGTGCTTTCACTTCCAGAGACAGTTGTAAGCACTGTGTAACTGCCTCGAGGGTGCTTGACCATTTTAACACAACGTGGTGCGATCATCCCCCTTGCGCGGAGTGAGGGTTCTCGACCCCGCACAACATAATCTACTCGATCACCATAATGACAACCGCCAAAAACAAAAACAGAGGTAAAAAAAACAAACGGTAACCTGGTTGCCGAGTTCACGA